TGCCGTACAGCCGAAACTGGGATCGAACCCAGACTGCATTAGACAGTGGGAAAGCCCACGTCTGCCACCACGCGTATTTAAAGAACATTCATGGATTTAAGAGAATCACTGCGTCGAGTTACCTACAGGTCATGAAAAAGGTCTAAAAAGCTCACACCGATCTGTATTTCAAAAGCTTATTATATCGAGATGACATTTGCAACTGACACAGGAAACTATACTTATATTATGTGCATCATATCTATATGTACAAATAATTATAAACCCAAGTTTATTTAAAAAATAATACACTATTAATGAAATAAAAATACATAGTACATTCTTACACATTACAATAATTTTTTAATAAAATAATCTTAATTAGTAGATATAATAAATATGTAAGTTTATTCACTTAATTCCTTTTTCATTATCACCATCACTATGACCATGTTAATAATATATATCTCTATGGTACGTGCAATATTAATGGTCAACTGTTTTAACAATTCATTATTTTTCATCAGCTTTCAGTGGAACTTTTCTTAATTTGGCCATTTCTTCAACACATTCTGTTTTACTGAACTTTTCGCGCTCAATTTCTAGCCTTTCTTCACTTAGTTCACCACTAGAAACCACGAATTTATGTAATCAAAACTATGTCCCTGGTTCACAGGAACTGCAGAAATGAATTAAAATAAATTGGTTCTCAGAAAGAGATTATTCCAAGTCGCATCGATACCACTTATTCCCTATATAATCTCTTGACAATTCAATTTTATGATGCGGAGAAACTGAATTCGCGCAGGTAATCAGTCTCTTCAATCTATGAATATACTTTATTTGCTGCCCACTGTGCATCAGCCGCGGTATCAACTACATAGATATGGAAGTATATTACTGTAACCATATGGTAGTATTTTACCAAAATAAGTAAAAATACAGGATATTTCATTAAACACAAATAAATAAATCACTTTCATATTATGCCTGAAAAGTGGCAATGTGCCACTAAATAGACCGAGACTCCTAAAGTGAGAGGTTGTTCGACTAATCAGTGACGTCATTGGTATTACGAAACGAACAGCGAATTTTTGTCCTGTTTCATAGAAATTGTTATTCATAGTTTTTTGTTTATTGTTAGATTGTTATTTAAGTATTATTGAACTCACAAACATCTATCTTCTTCTATTCTATCTATGTCGGGTTATAATTTTGGGGGCACAAATTGAAGTGTGAATGCTTGTGAAGTAACGTAAAGTAGAAAAAAGAAACTGGCGAATCCATTAATTTCCACAAGTTTTCAAAAGATCCTCATTTAAAAGAGTAGATTGGAAGATGCTACCGAAAGTATGTTTTTAATCCTACCAACAAAAGAATTTGCAATACACATTTTAATAAAAAATTTCGAGGATATGAACTAGCTGCAAAGCAATTAAAATCAACAGGTATACCTAAATTTTTATCATGTCATGTTTTATATACACAGAAAGAGCCACACGAATAAAACGCTCTTACAATTAGTAAAATTTGAGTCGAAAAACCCAATGAGAGAGCTACACATATGATTATAAAAAAATCCTGGAACAGGTACTTTTAAATTAAGTCACAATTAGAGTGTTTGATAATTAAAAAGAAAATGTTGAATTATGTCAAAATGAAAAACACTGGCTCTGCGTTGTACTAGTTACTATTTGTAATAATTAGTGTGTTCTGTATTTTCGTATTGCATAATATTCCTAAAGTATATAAATAATAATTACGAGTACCAGAAAAAAAAATTTGTTCCAATTTGGTGCATCTTCCTTTCCGTTACTGATTCGATATGAATGTGCACAGATGTACGAGAATTCGTACAACGGTGTATCTACATTCAAACCCCCAAAAGTCTTGGAATTTTTCAAAACCAAGCACCATGATCTTTGAGCATACTTAATTTATATAACCAAGGTAGCTTATATAACCATTAAGCTTTTTAGACATTTTCTTATAACAAGATATGCTGAATCGTAAAGTTCAACCTAAATAAAAACAAAATTGAGGAATGGTCCTATAATTTGAAAAAAGATCAAGAATTTTGATGAGCGTTTTGTAGCTAAGTTGACGAAAATATATGGGTATGGGTATATTGCTAATTGTGCTTATGCATGCACTTGATGATTTTCAAATTAAATTTTACACATATTAAATATGTACCACTTTGTACGTTAAACAATAGCAGGTTCCTGCTCATACTGGAAGTAGCTTAATCATGAAGTTACTAAAGTGAATACATTTGAACCGAAATTTTATCTCATTGTTTTGTAGCAGCATAAAACACTTGGTTTATCACTTACTTAATCACAAAGTCCAGACTAAATTGTATTTTTATAGTTCTTTTAAAAATGTTGTAGTCGTAATGTTTAGGAATTACTTATCCAAAAATTAGTCAAATAATATTGGGTGAGATTATGGGGATCAAATTACCATACCGATGACGCAAGAAATGCTGCAATGTCATTGGACGATTCAAGGTCAAACTTTGTAGGCAACCTACTTCTTTAGCGATCTTGCAAAAATACTATGTTCTCTTAGTCCTAGATGTTAAATTTTCATTCCTAGTTGTCATATTTGGCATCAGCAAGTTCAAACAAATGTCTTATCGTTATCTAGATTAGCTAAACTAGTTATTTTTAAAGTTTCATTGAATGTCACCGGCTACTCTCAATGTGGCAACGACTTAAACTTTTAAAATCATGTATGAAACCAGCGATTTTACTTTTCAAATATTTCATTGGTGCTGTTGTATTTCAACAAATCAAAAGTCTGCTATAGCATCTCATCCATCATTTTACTTCGATAAATCATTGTAATAGGGTGCAAAGTACAAAAATGGAAAACAGAGAAAATGGAGGAACGTTATACTCATGTATTAGTGAACTTCGATGCTTTGACCATACTTTGGAAACAGAACTCCCCTAAACTCCACTACTTACCAAAAGGAGCGATGTATGATTGGATTCCTTAGAGCGTGTTTTTTTAAGAAAAACCGGCGGACTTTTGCGAATATTCACATAATTCGAAGAATAATTTTATAATAAACCGTGACAGCGCGCGTGAAAGAGGTTAACTCTTTCATTGAGCCATACATTTTATTTCTTAATGGAACATTTTTTTAATGTGGCATCCATGTATTTTCGGGGTCGCTGATTACGAATTAGAAGTCAGAATTGTAAAATTCAAAATGGTCGATCCAATATGGTCGACTAATAATTCAAAAAAAGTTTTTAATTTTCATGATAATCAGTTCCCGGGGTTTTTTCGAGTCGCTGATTACGAATCAGAAGTCAAAATTGTAAAATTCAAATTGGCTGATCCAATATGGCGACTAATACTTCAGAAAAATTTTTAGTTTTCATGAAAATCAGTAATCAGGGGGTTTTCGGGTCGCTGATTACGAATAAAAAACCCTGATGACACTATTATAAGAAATATTTCAACTACTTATTTGGATTTACAGCTGAAAAACGTTTTTTTTTTTTTAATTTATTTTTTCTAATGATTTGAAGTAATATCTATCAATTTATAATAAAAAACAACGCTGCGAAAAAATCAGAAAAAATTCTAAAAAATACTTTAGGGTGTCCTAAATAAGTGTCTAAATCGGCGTTCCGATATTGACAATACTTTAGTGGAAATTGTATGTCTCTCATAAAGAGCACAGATTTTGAACATTTGAAAAATTGAGCATATGAATTCTGAAGTTAATGTTCTATGTAATATCAGTATTACTGATATTTGAATTCGAAAAAGGTAATACGATATGCGCAGATTAACCTGACTTGAGTATTGTGCTTTCTTGCAAAACCATTTTTATTTTTTTCCGGTTTTGTACAAATTACAGTTTCCCAGTTCCCCGCAACTGCATATTCTAATAAATAAATTAAGGTGTCAAGATAATGTCTACTTTGAACTCATTCAACGATATTTTACAAATAATGTAATTTTCCATATGTAAACGCAATGTTAGAGCATAAGACGGTCCTGGCGTGCACATCTTGCACTTCATCATCATACCTTTTTTAAGGGGCCTGCAACATAAATAAAATGTCTATTTTCTATACCCTCTGCACCCTGCACGGTCATGTAAAAGGCAGATGTGTACGAAGGCCTGTTGAGGCAATATGTCTCGCATATTTTGTTAAAAGTAACATTTTTAATTGGTAAATATACAGTCCACTTCAATCAAAGAGAGTTTGTTTTTTATGCCATTATAGTGGCAGTACAGTAATGCGAAACTGTACACGCAATTAAGTTCAAAAACTCATTTTGTAATTGTCTATCACTGTATTGGATCCGCCATTTTGAATTTCTGAATTCAAAAAACCTTTCAGTACCAAATTTCAGCCAAATCGGAGCATCTTTAGCATTTTTTGTCCGCCATATTGTATCCGCCATTTTGAATTTCTAAGTTTTGACTACGGATTCGAAATCAGCGACCCCGAAAACTTGACAATACCAAATTCCAGCACAATCAGAGCATCTTCAGCACTTTCGTACGCCATATTGAATCCGCCATTTTGAATTTCTTAAATTCGAGTACGCCAAAAATCTTGGGGTACTACATTTCATAGCAACTTGAGCACTTTTAGTATTTTGGCTACTTTTTCAGGTTCCTGGCCTATAATCAACTCGTAAGAAAGACATATGGGGTGCGCCATTAAAAAAACACCTTGTATGTATATATAGTATAATACAATCTTGAACTGGGTAAAATTTCTAAAATAAATAATTTTCTTGACGTAAGAGAATAAAGAATGATCATACGCAAATTCCTTCTTTCATTCACATTAATAATTTTGTTTGAACTAATAACTATTTTTTTCATTATTTCGTTAGTTTTAGTTTTTTCGTTGCATATTTTGACTTTAAAATAAATATATACCCACACCTTACACGAGAAAGATGTGCCGCTACTTCACTATGGTGCACTGAACGCCGATATAATGGATTGACAGATCAGATAATAAAAAAACACTCACCTAATCTTTTCACAGTTCAGTACCCGATCACCCGGGCCTGACCACGGACAACAGTAATGGATTAGTTTAATCTTTAACCAATTAAACATGTTAGTTAAAGAAATGAATACGAGCTGTGAGTTTACAAATTACAAAGAAATGAAATTATACGGAAAAAATAACTACTAGACATGCTAATATTATAAGAAACACGAATCCGCAACAACAGTGCTGATCAGATAACTAGGAGGGTACTGTTCTGTTCTGTTCGAGGCGAATGACGAATACGCGCAAGCGCAACATTTCTCTTCCATACTTCCATCAGCTAAACGGAATGGGCAGAGGAACTCGTTTTATTCTCAACGGGCTTATCTTTTTCGTTTCCTTCTTTCATTTTCTTCTGAAACTCGGGTATTTTCAACTTTCTGGTTCCCTCTCCTTTTAAGGACCTGATAAAGGGTTTGTATACTGTGCACCTATTTTATATAAAATTATAGAAATGGTCTTTCTTTCTAAGTTACATATGTAAATAATTATGTGGTTGAAGTAAAGTGAAAATTTGATCGCCAAATCCTTACAAACGAGAAAGTTAAGATTTAACATCCTATTTGTCTTTCTCTAAACCATTACCTTTGACCTAGTGCCAAGAATGAAAGTTTTTTTTTCTCACCGACCAAGTACAAAAATTAGGTATTATTAACATCGACAGAATTTCTTTGCCAGTATAAACGTTATAATAAACTTTAAATTGAAAGAGTTTACTCATATATAATCTACATCTCCAAAGGATAATTTCGTAATGAAATTCAAAACTGGTTTAAAAATTATTATCATAAGAATCGATTTAAGTAAACATTTTAAATTTTAAAATAGTACATTTTCAACCTTACCCGTATATCAAAAAAGTTTATTAATCCTAACATGAAATCATCTGGATATATCCACTAATTCTTTTAACAGTGACATGCGTTTATATTCCTTCTAATACCGACTCCACTCGATGCGATCACTCGTCAAACATTTGTCAAATAGTTGCAGATTATCAAGTCAAAATCCATAATGCCAGGCTGTATCGCACACATGGCAAATATCTCCTCAAATACAAATATAATTGTGGTAAATATTTGGCAAGTGAAGACGTGTTTTCGAATGTATCAATATGCAACATGCACACAATATGACATTTGTTTACATTTGACAAACATTTGGCAATTGACCGTCTGATCTGAAAGCGATGATAATCTATTTTTAATCCATTCAGATTTCTTCCAGTTAACGACAATTGGCGTTAATATTGCTGGCATGCACAAGGCATGTCTTTTTCGTGTTGTTATTTTGCATAACTATTCTATTTTATACGAGTAGGTATTTTTGTCTTCAGTTTTAGTAACTCCACACTTGAGTTTCTATTAGCAAGGTGTGTTAGTGTGAAGAGAAAAAATAGGTCTGGATACTGACGGGTCAAAACCGAAGGTTTTTCTACAGTTCAACACATTCGCGGATAAAACTTTGTGTATATTTCGCAATAATTGACAAAATTCACAACTTTGTTTGAACTTGTCATATATGGTCAATTAAATAACGATACATTTAGGCATTACCAAGACACTATAGTGTTAATAATTAGTTAAATTATTATATATATTGCTTTGACACCCGTCAGAAACATCAAATCTAAATACCATCTTAATACACTCTTACAGCTGCCAAACTAGCTTGGCAACCATGTTGCATTAGTTTGCATTTAGAAGGATTCAAAAATAATTGGGGACTAACTGTGACTTTACCCATTAAAATAAGGAACTTAAATATAATTTTAATAGACTAAATGCAAGAAAACAACAAAATATTTTATTGCGCTTCTACTAACGCCAGTTTTCCATTAAAACCTTCATGGATAAAACCAAAATTAATTTGGTCAAGGCCGTAGATATGCACCCATTGTCCCAACGTTAAGATTACGTCCCTCAATTAGATACAAATATGGAAAATATGACACCTCCAAGCCACCAAGTCGAATGGATTTACGTAACGGAACGGAATGTTTCGAAACGCAAACTGCTATGACCCGCAAATATTTTACGATTGCTAAGCGGATCAGTCCATTACTCCTGAACGTAGGGGAGTCCGCTCCAAACAGGCGTCAAACGTTGTCCCAACACAGAAAGTAAATTACCTGAATTGGCGCTATTGCACCTACGTACATCAAAATTACAAGACGTCTTACCAAATGGTATCGTCATGATCTTTTAGTTAGGTTAAACGTTTTTAGGTCTTAATTGGTGTATTGCAAAATTATTAAGTAAATATAGGTATAACAAATACCATGAACAATAAATGGGCATCTTAATTTCTTAAAAATCATACTTATTCAAAATGAAGTTAATCAATTTACAAAAATATCCAGTGGACAACTGTAGGTACCTATGTATACACACCTTGACAATAAAGAACCTGTTTTGACTTTAATATCTTGGTATAGTGGATTTCAATCCAAGGATTCGTATGGTGATTGGTTATATAATATACCTAGGCAGCATCTATATCAAAATGTTGCATTTAGTTTGTTTTCAGTGATATTGCGACTAAAAATAATTAGAACTTAAATATTGTGTCTACTATTTGGTATTTGATTTTGTATTTTATTAGTATATAGACCAGATATTTCTTTATAGACCGGATATTTTCGTTTTACTTTTATTTTTTTTTCTATTAGAACATCAACACCTATATGCAATAGTAAATAAATGAAACCGATGAAAAAGTTAAGACATGGCCTACTGGATAAAATAACTACTTTGATGAATGGCAGAATAGTTTCAGTCTTAAATTCAATAAATTTACGTCTACACCATTTAATTTTAGATTTAGATGCTTTTAATTTTTTTTTCCATATAAACATCGCAAGTTCCTTGTCTTTGGAGATCAGAAAATATTTTTCCCCTCATGTGGGTCAGTTCTCCAGAAAAGGTATATCTATTTATTCGATTAGCATACGGAAAAAATTGTGTGAAATTTCGACGTTTACACTGATTATTTTTACAAATTGTAAAATTATTACTAACAAATTGTAGATTTTCTCAAATTTAAGAACAACATTCTATGAAAGTTTGAGCCAATTTGCCCCCGTCACGAATTCTGGAACACTTGTGAGAATTTTGACGACAATGTTCAATGTCAAAAAGTTGAGCATTCATTCCAGACATAAATATAGATACCAACCCTGTCTATTCTTACCAAACACCCTGAATATTCTTACAACTGTTAAAACCCTTTATAAGGATGACAGTGGTATGGTGAGCAAATGTTTAACCCTAGGTTCCCGATATGAGTTGTTCACATTTTATATTTGGATAACTTGAAGCATGTGTGGATGAAAAATTCGTATTCGTTACCAAATATTCAGTATTTAATCGTCAGTAAATCAAGACTCCGATATATTCAAAATTACTTTAAATTATGCAAAAGACTATCATAAAAGTCAATTTACACTTAAATATGAGTTTAAAGATTAAATCATCAGGACAATTATCCACCAAATCTTTTAATAGCGATATGTGGTTATATTCCTTCCGAGATTCCTTCTTGGAAAAGATGTTATTAAAAGACACTGTTTTTTGTGTGTGTTCTATTGTATGTTAAGTCGTTCGTCATTATATATTAGGTACTGTAAAATCTCCAAACATTTTAGCATGGTCATCTTAAAATGACACGATCTTAACTGAAAGAAAATTTCCAATACATTTGTAAATCTGGTTGTAAACGAGGTGGTCATTTGCCGAATGTAAACAAACGCAGTATCGTGTGGATGGTGCATATCGACACATTCAAAAGCCACTGCTAAGCATTTGCCAAAGCTATTTTTGTAAATATTTGGGGAGATATTAGTCATGTGCTAATACCTCACATTGTGTACAGTCTTTCCGATCTCAATTGAAGACCAAAGAGCTAGACAGTATGTACTAGGTTCGGTCGCTCGGCATTGAAATATTTGAAAAACTTGTTCCCATATTTATTTTTGTTTTACCTTTAGCAGAAAACTTTTTTAGGGACGACTATGAAACTCATTAAATTTTATTGCTAGGCGTTTTGATTTGACCGCCTACTTTGGTCAACAGTAGTCTACGTCTGAAAGTTCACACTACAGTATATTATTTTGACCACTTCTCCCGTAAGTTATTTGATAAAAATAAAGAGTTGGTATACGTATTTCTGGAACACTGCACCCAATTGTTTTCTTTCCAATTTTCTCCTACAATTCGACACCAAAATTAATCGATTCAGAATTTTGATGATTTTTTCCTAGGTGAAATTTGTTGCCATTACTTAATAAGTGCCCCAAATTTAAAAATAATCTGTGTTAGGAGCAAACTGTGAAAACTAAAATATTTTAATCTATCAAGAGCAATACTTTTTATCCGTGTTTGAAACTATTACCTAAAAATTCTCCCCCTCACAAAAATATGTTAATGAAAAGCTTGTGGGGGACTGTGTGAAATGTGACCTTTCCTCGTTGAGGACGCATGCCAATCACCTTTTAAAAGTGGGCCAAAAGTTCTCCAGAATGAAGACTACACAATTTTAATGAGACTAATCGATAAAGAAATCGTTTTTATTTTGTATGTAAGGCTCCAAATTCCAAATTGCCTAGGGCGACACAGAAAGCATGTTGTAATACTTGTATCCTAGGGGAAGAAATGTCAACTACATCTCTGCGAAGATGTATTTGAACAATCGGTCGATTCAAAACATGTTTCACGATGACCTAATTAGGACCACACATGCGCGGGACCATGTCATAGTTTGCAATCGTGGTTAGATTCAACGACCAACAAATCGCTCCAATGCAAAATCGTTCTTGCGTGCCTTTTTAAACATCACTCTTACACAATTAATAAATCATTATTACTTGGATACAACACGAGGCGTTAACAATTTTTGCTACGGTTGCCTATACTCATCATTCACCATCACTATATTTCAATATATTCTTGCGAAAGAAGATTAAAAATAAGAAGGTGACCTTCAAAAGTGGTTATAGCTTAAATATGACAATTACATCAAACCACAGAATGTAGTTTACCCTATATTTGTGACAACCACCTTCAAAATGTGTACGGAATGGGGACGCCTCTACAACAAAAAGTCTACGAATAAAAGTTGCAGGAAACTCTTTTTTTTCAACAGAACACCCTCCACAGGCAGGCCCATTGGCATCTCTAATACCC